TCCTGGATGGGAAGAGAAATGTCTTCAAACTTGGAAACAAAGTCCAGAAATGAGCTGAGAATTCAACCAGAAACAAACATTTGATAGATTAAAATAAAGATTAGAATAAATCCTGTGGATATCATCACACTGTCAGTGAGCGGCACCACAGGAGAGGGAGAGACTGGTCAGTGGCTGGGATGAGTTTAACCCTTTCCAGCTGAAGAGGAGGCGCAACAGACAGACGGACAGACAGACTCTCTTCACAGTGACACCATGTTCTCCTTCTGCAAATGATCCACTTCATCCTGTCTCCGTGTCCCTGCTCCTCAGGTCCTTCATGTTTCAGATGTGTCTCTCCTACCTGAATGAATGAATTAGCACCTCAGCAGCCATCAAAGGCTGCAGAAGCCTGTTAATCATGTTTTTATTCAGGTCAGAGTGAAGGCAGCAAGCAGCTAAAGAATGTAGGACGGAGGGCCCTGAGGACCAGGGTTCAGAAACTCTCTCCTTTAGTTACTGGCTGAGCTTTTACTAAATGTCTTTCATCTTTTAGACATTATTACTGGCTTAGAAATGAACAGATTGTTGATTATATGTAGGATCATGTCCACAATTTAAGAAAGAGAGAAAAATTGATTGATCTGAATATCCAGACAAATAATTGATCCCTTGCATTATGTTTATGTTTATTATGTTTAAGCCTTAATTTACCGAAAAAAGTAAAACTATTTTTGCAAAGTGGAATGCAACAAATCCCAATACAATTTCTAAAATATAGAAAGCCTGCTGGACCTTTAATCTAATTAAAGCTCCCATCCTCAGTGTAAGCTGACCTGCTATTCATCTAATTCATCCGTCTTCTACCACTTATTCCATCAGGGCCACAATGGGGCCGGTGCCTAACCCCAGCAGTCTAAGGGCCAAAGACGGGGGCCACCCCGGACAGGTGGCCAGTCTGGCACAGGACAGCACTCAACCACTGACTTACATTTCTCCTTTATGTCTACAGCCTAACTGTAAACCCAACAGGTTCTAAACTAAACTCAATTGAAAGCTTAGTCCTAAACCATAAAACAGCATTTTACCCGAGGGACCAGTCATTGGCTCCCTACTAGGAGGAGTCAGTCTCCACCGTGCAACAGGAGGGTTTTCTCGAAAATGGGAGGAATCCAGACTATCTAAAAAGAACCACTGCATGGATGTGGGGAACATTTAAAAAAGATGCTGGACCAAGAATCGAACCCTGGACCTTTGTTGCTGCAAGGCAGCAACGTACTAACTGCAGTGGGAATCTACCGGCAATACTAGGCAGGTGCCTAGGGCCCTAAGCTCCTGGGGGCCCCATAAACTCTGTTTCCATGTATGGTTAAAACAACTATTCCTTATTTGTGCACATTAATTATGTTTTTGATAAAAATCCTTTGGCTAAAATGCCATCAGAACACTGATGAGACAACATCTAAAAGCAGCGAACTCTGCTCTCCAGAGCGAGTAGATTGGTAACACCGCCTCCTGCTCTCCTCTATCTTGTCTGCTGTCATGATTCATGCAGCTATTATTTCATCCAAAT